CACCCAAGCACGGTCTGCTGCTCCCAAAAGATCCCACTTTGAGAACCCTCCCGGGAGGAAGTTTCTACACCGGCACATCAGCATTCCTATGCTGAACGTGCAGTTTACAAAAAAAATTAGCGTCTGGAGGCCGTGCATCTAGGGAACTGCAGCGAAGGCCAGCCCCGAATTCACAGCAGCACACAAAAGGGCCTTCTCCCACCGCGCAGCAAACCCACCTGAAGACCTCCTCTTGCCAACTGTGCTCAAATTTGCTTGCATCTCAGAACTTAATGCTTTTACTAGGAAGCACAAGGAAAACAGTCCTGAATATCACAGACTTCCTGACTTTTCATCTTCAGAGTCTAACACACCGAAAGTGTAAAGGAGAACTTTTTTTAGTTTCCTATCACCTGTTTTCACAATTCCTTCCTGGCTATCTGACTGTTTACATCAGGGTTTCTCCACCTCCACGCTATTGACATTTGGAGCCAAATAGTCTTTGTTGGGGGGGGAGGGTGCTGTCCTGTGCACTGCAGGGTCTTTAGCAGCCTCCCTGGCCTCCACTCACTAGATGCCAGTAGCACCCCCGAGCTGTGACGATCAGAAATGTCTCTAAATGCCCACTGCGAGCAAAACTGCCCCTGGTCCCCTAGGTTACATGAATTTCTCTTTCTCAGCCATTCTGCCTGAATCAACCACTCCTGGCTTCACCCTGCCATCAAGGCACCATCCCAAGAGCCATTTAATTTTTAAATCTTTCATCAACCATTAATACCTGTATGTTGCATCAATAGTTATACTCTGTTACTAAATCCAGGACTTTCTTTTTGGAAAGGGGGAAATCCTCACAAAATGCCATCTTGGAGGAGGTAACGGGAGGCAGCCGCGGCCCCTTTCTGGAGCGCTGGGCAGCTCTCTCTTTAGCGCATGTGCTGCTCTCCCTAACCGCAGCTCCCTAACCGCTGCAGCTACGCGAAGATGATCAGTCATTTCAGAAAAATACGGAAAGAGCCTCGAATCCTTACTGCCCTCTAGAGAAATTCCGGCAGAAGCGCTCAATCTGTCGCAGTCAGCAGAAAAACAACGCTGCCCAATGCAACTGCGCCCAGAGTTGTAAAGCAAACAATTTATTTGCTGAAATTTTTGAAAGACGAGTGTACCAGACCCTTTCCTTTACAATCTCACACCTGAACCACGAGCTGATGTTGGCTCGTGCGTTGACATGATCGTAATTTTCCCAATTCCAGGTCCACTCTCCAACACAAAGATTTTACGCCCACAGATGAATCAAATTCCGATAGTCTACAAAGTCAGGGTAGACCATATTTTAAATGCAAATACTCAGGTTTGTACTCTGGCCTTTGTTTGCTGGCCTACCAGCGGTCATAGATACAGAGATTTCTTTTTTTATGCATCTCAGAAAAACCAGGAGTGAAAAAGTCATTCGCTAATTCTTCTTGTTTGCACTAGGTTTTGGTGAGAACTTTCCAGCACATCTTGGAGCTAATTGTAACATTTTTTCCCCTTTAAAAAATTTTTTTTGACTTTGGATATTGTTTTGATAAAGACCTACCTATTACTCACTGACCATCTGTATTCCAAAGAGAGCTGCAACACTGAGATGAAAGTAAGCTTTCCCAACCAAAGTCTTAAAAAAGTCATCCCAAGTCTAACTCCTGTCCCCGTGCCACAGCTGGAAATCAAAAGAACTAACTTTGAAAAGGATATGCTTGAAGACATACACTAGATAGGAAATCTTGCAGGTTTAATCAGAATCTTCAAATCATTGTTTCCATTATGACAGGCAACAGCAAAAAATGCTGAATGTTTATGCCTAATGGGTTTGCCCTTTGCCAGACAAATCCTTTTAGCTATGGCAGGGAAACATAATTTTTATGGGCTCTTGGAGAGAGTGCACACTGCCCTCTGATGGTAACACATGCTCATAATTTTATGGGGGTCCCTTTATCAGGTTCCAGAAGGCTGAAAGATGGGATGTTACTATTAAAGGCAGATCAATAATCCCATAGATTAATGGGCACCAGTGGTTATCTTTACTTTTCCAATTTTTTCCACCCCCTTGACGAGGAAGTAAGAGATTGGACCCTCTCATTTGTTAACAATTGCTGTGAGAACTATTTTGCCAAGATGGAAACATGTCAAAAAGCGATACTTAAAATACTTGAACGCCATCAGACACAAAATAATAAGAACACACATAGTGCAGCACAGACATAAAGCCTCAATGAAGTAATGTTTGACTGCTGAATAAAAGAAATTGCTCTCTGAATTTGAACTATCAATAAGTAAGCCACCTAAGAGATCAGAAACTCAGGTTCAAAATTAGCTCCCTACCCCGACATAAAACAAATTGAAAGGATTTTGAGGGCTGGAGGAGTCTTTAGCTAGAGTCTATAAAGGTATTTTTTGAATGAGACAGAAACTATAGCGTAGGATAAATTTTCCCCCAAGCCCTTTTGAAAGTCATGATACTGCATTGTGACCTCTTTAAAAATGTACAAATTTATCATCTTCAGCTATTTTTATCCACCAAATTACAGGTGCCTCCTAATCTCACTAATTCCCAACAGCGAAGAAAGAGGAACAGGGAAAACTAAAAGCCAGCATATTCCCTGTCACAGCAAAGCTCTTGGAACTGTATCCAAACGGAGCTGTTGATCTGCGGAAATGTAAATGTCATTTCTAAATATAGCATCAGAGAGCCAGAGAATCAGCATTTCTGTTGATGAAACACCTTTTCAGGAATTAGCATATGCAAGGCAATGCTTCTCCCTGACACATGGGAGAGTCACGAATCTTCCGCCCAGCCCTCCATCCCGGAGGGGCTACGATACGTGGGTTTGTGCTCAGAACCCAGCACGTTCTCACCGATTTCCTTAACCTGCTACCACACCAGATTGTGTATCAAAGCAAATAATTTCCTGTGCCTCTCTCCTCATCTTAAAAATAAAAAGCAGAATTTCATTCTGCCTGGTTAGGACTCCTTACTAGTTAGGGGTGCTCACAGACTCACAAAGGAAACCAAAAGACGGGGCCGCAGACTGAACTGTGCAAGTGAGCTTATACTGGGATTTGGGGCTGACTGCACAGCCACCAGCTGCCAGGACACAACTTTGATTCCTACTGATCTTCCCTCCCTCAACCATTCTGGAATGTTTTCAGGTTCTAGAATATTCCATCCTTCCCACCTTGGGGCCTTCGTAAAGTAGGCTGTTCTCTTTGCCCAAAACCTTCGTTTCTTGCATGCTTTGCATTTCTAGCTCTTTCTCATCTTTTCCACCTCAGATTGTCACTTTCTCATAGGGGCATTTGGAACATCCTTAGCCCACTTGGTTTTAATCTATTGCAGCCCGGTAGGCTGTACAACTTCTGCTCAGAAGGGCCCCATACTTGGTTTAATGCTCTGCTATAGCTGTTTGAAATTCTTAATGTTTTTAACAAGAGGCCCTGCATTTTCAGTTTTCACTGGGTCCCACAAATCATATAACCAGTCCTGGTCACAGCCCTTTGTTTCTTTCATAAAACAGAATTTGTAGTTCTTGATTTGTCAGTTTATTGGTGGGGGGGGATCTGTTTTCTCCATTAGGGCAGAAATTGTGTCTATTTGGTTTATTGTCAAATCCACTGTTGTCCAATAGAATTTTCTGCAATGATGAAAGTGTTCTAGATCTTTGCAGTCTAACATGTCAGCTACAAAGCTACGTATAGTTATTGAGCACTTTGTGGCTAGTGCAACTGAGGAACTAAACTTGTTATTTTATTTCATTTTAATTAACATAAATTAAAACTGAAATCACCTCATGGGGCAAGTGGATACCATGCTGGACAGGTCTAAACCCTAAGGCCTAGCACAGCAATTGTAAATGCATCCAGGGTATTATGAGGACTTAAGAAGCTCCATGGCAGTAACATAGTACTTTGGAATGACATAGCAGAATTCCCCAAGAAGCTTGTTAAAAATATAGGTCTCCCTGCCCCACCCTCCAAGACTCTGATTCAGCAAGTTGACGAAAGTCTACGCACCCAGTACACCCCAAAATTTGAGAAGCACTGTGTATAGTTTATGGAAGAAGCTCGTCTTTACAACAATTATTTAAATCTCCTTAACTCTTCCAGGTCAAATAATGTTAATACAAATATCATTTCTAGAATTTTATTATTCCCAAATTCCCAGCTACAACCAATGGCTGTTTCAAGCAATATTTAACCCAGTAAAATCCAGTGGATAAAATATATTTGGACTATCCCTTTGGTTTTGTTGTAATGAACTTTGACCTATGACCTTGACTTTCAGTGCCAGAAATGACAGAGAGCTCTTTCTTCAAGACTCGAAAATGATGGTTTAAGGGTGTGTGGTTACATGTGGGTTAACACCCAGCATTAAGTAAGTAGCAGGACTTTATTAAGGAGATACATAGATCTCCAGTAGGAATTATTTAGGGGGAGGGACAGGAAAGTCTTTTCATAAATATAGAGTACATACTTTTTTAATAACTTGATCTAATCTTTTTCTTCCTTTTCACAGACACACAAAAATGCAAAAGGCCGTTAATGTCCAACCTCTCTTTATATACCTTTGTCTCTAACCATTATTGTAATTCAGCCCTCTAACACGAGCGCTTTTTCCTCCACTGAGCTATCAAAGACACCTTCCTAATCAACATTACACACAGGAGCATAATAGATGGCACCACAGTGAATACAAGGATAAGCTGTAATTCACTCTGGGGCTCTGCTGATGTCATAAACCGCACGACCAGCTTTATGGAGAGTAGCTGAGCCCAGAAAGTGAATTCCGATCTCGGCTCACTCTGGGAGCCATCTGTTAAGGAAACAGATTTAAACGCCGACCTTTTCATCTCTGTCGTTTACAGAGATTTCAAACTTTTGCTATAAAATTTAAACTTTTCAGCCATGAACAGATTAAAATTCCTTTCTAGAGGCACATTTGGTTTTGTATTCCCTCCTTCAGCTGACAAATAGATTAGTGGTCTTACCGCCCGTTGCTACAAGACCATCTCAAAAGGAAGAGCCGCACCCCGCGACCGCGAACGCCGTGGCTGCGCGCGCCGGGTCCCACCACGGATTCACCTTCCCAGCCTCCTCTGCGGCAAGTGCGGGTCATGTGACCCAGTCTTGGCCAATGAGACACAGCGAGGTGCCTTCTGGGAAACGGCTTCCTGGTTTCAGGAAGACGCGCAGGTGAGGAAAGACCCTTTCACCTGCCTCTCCTCCACTCACCCCTACGCCGGCACTTCCGACTTCGGATGCCCAGGTAAGGGCGCATGATCTGAAGCTGCAGTGGCGGTCTTGTCGTCATGACAGACGTGCGTGAAGGTAAAAAGCCACCCGCTGCAGAGGGGGGAGCGGAAGTGGGGGAAAGTCTGGGTGCCTGATGGCTTTGTTGAGCCTCTGAGTTAACTGGCCCCGGTACTGTCCACTCCCGTGGCTCTTTGTTATGTAAATATTTTAATATTGGTTTCCTCCAGAAGCAGAGCCTAAGGTATGCTTTTGGATGCAAATAATTTACATGGATGGTGATCCCAAGAAGCACCAGTAGGGGCGGGCAGAGGGGACAGGGAAGGGAAGGAAACCAATTCAGAGCGTTAATGAGCCGCTAAACCCTGTAGCCATCTGGGGCGCAGTCCAGAGAGAGCCCTGAGGCAGAGAATCCTGCTTTGAATGATAAGCCAGTGACCTACAGGAGGACATTGTGTGTATATGTTGGGGTAGGGGCGTGGTGATGTTCAGCGGGATTCCAATAGCTCAACATCTTCTACATAAACAAACCATAAAGGTCTTGGGTTTTGAGTACTATTTGTCAGTTGCCTATTACTGGTCACAGAAGTCAACATCACTGTTCCTTTAAGTTACTCATACCCTGCGGTTTCTCTACGATTCCATGCCAGTGAAAAGACGCAAATGCTAATTTTTTTCGGCACATTGTTACTGACCACTGCCCCTGTGTCCGGCATCAGCAGTGCACTGGTGAACCAAACAGACAAGGTCCCTGCCCGTGTGGGGCTTACTCTCCAGTGGGGGAGCTGGACACAACAGCTTATCCTTCTCATACTCCCGGCTGGAACACGACAAGTACTGCTAAGCACACTCGAGAAAAAGTGAAAGGACAATAATAAGAGAGTGCCGCAAAATCAGAGTGTGGAGTCAGGGAAGGGTTCATGAATCAGGGGCTGAAAGAAGTGGGAGGCAGCCAGAAGGAAAGAGAAAAATATTACCCCTAATCCCGGCACAAACAGGGGAGCAGCGCTACTGGGTAGGACATCATAAAGGCTCCCATAAGAAGATCATTCAAGTAACATCTTTCATTGGAAAAGAAAACAAGAATTTGACCCTCACCCAGAAACTTACACTAGGTTGGTTTGACTAGAAAGCAAATTGAATCATTACAAGAGCCATTATTTTCTCTTGAAACCAACCAGAAGTCATGTCCAGACTAAATAAATTCTGATCTTCCTCCTTCTTTGGACTAAAAGACAACTCCTTTGAGACTTTATCCGTACAGAAATAATAAATGGTTATTCACAAAAACACAATTTTCCTGTGGGGGAAGAAATTCACCATTTCTTTACCACTACACTTAGGCATTTATATGCACACACATATAAAGATCTGATTTCACAGATCAGGATCTCAAAATGTCAGGTTCGTGAAAATGCCCGCTGCCCTGGGGTTTGGCCTCCCTCCCCCTGGCCCTCATCATCCCATCACTTCTGCAGACTCACACAAGTCCCTCAAAACCCCAGGGGACTACAGAGCACAGTTTGAAAAACACTGTGATAAAAGTTTTTTGGATTTTTTTTCCCAAATAGTAAGTCAAGACATAAAGATGTTGCTGACCATCTAAGTCAGAGGTTAACAAGTTATGGCCCTCAGGCCAAACCTGGGTTTCTAAATACAGTTTTAACGGAGCACAGCTATACCCACTCATTTACATATGGTTCTGGGCTTTGTTTTAATGGCAGAGTTAAGTATTTGTGACAGAGACTGGAATAGCCTGCAAAGCTTAAAATATTTACTCTCCGACCTTTTACAGAAAAAGTTAGCCAATCCTTGATCTAAGTCATTGTAGGAAATCAGCGTGATATTAATTCAAACACTAATCCTGGCCTATAACCTAACAATCGGATTGTAGTGAAAGCAGGAAAGAGTAGGAAGAGCAAAAGGAAACCACAGTGGGCTCTTGAGGCACTGAGAACACCTGGAGGCCAACCCGCCTCCTCCCATCTGAGACAGAGGACCAGGGGGCTCGCCTGTCTTCCAGGGGGATCCTGCCATCCCTGGGATCCCTGACAAATTCAGAAATCCTCTTGGCAATGCTGATCTTTCTGTCTCTGGGACTTGCAAATGCTGCTGCTTCCACCGAAAGCACACTTCCCTCCCTCTCTTTACTTGCCAAATCTGCATCCTTGTGGCATCTTTGATATCACATCTTTTAAGAGGCTTCTCTAGGCTCCCTAGCTTGGTCAGGTGCCCTCATCTCTGCCCCCACATTGCTTTCTCTTTTCCTGCACCTCCACTGTCTCTCTGTGTTATAATTGTTGGATACTTGTCAGATGCCTCCATTGAATAGAAGCTCCATGAGGTCAGAGCTGCACTTGTCTCATTTACTGTTGTCTTGTTCTCTCAGACTCTAAAACAGTTCCTGGCACATTGTAATACATAAATATTTGATGAGTGAATTCCTTTGTATGAAGATCTTTAAATGAAATCATGAAGAGGGGGAATGTGATGCAAATGCAATAGGAAGAATTACACACTGCCTGTCTTAGGTAATAATCTGGACAGCATGTGCAAAGGCCCTGAGACAGGAAGAAGCATAAAGCACCAGAGGCATGGAAACTAGACCAGCACAGCTGGAACACACAAAGCCAGGGCAAAAGAAATTTAAGACCAGACAATGCAGGACCTATACATCATGCTGAGAATTTTTTTTATCTTATCTTTAGAGTAATGGGAGAACCACAGAAGGTTTTAATTAAGGCAGTGGGTGATTCAATTTGTACTACTAATAGCAGATGTTGTGAATTCACAAGTAGTAAATAAGAATGCCTTTCATTGTGCTAGATATTAAGAATAAGATACTTAAAGAGTCATTGTTCCTACATTCAAGATATTTTATAAAAGGAAAACATAACTACAGTTTGATGAAGGCTTCAATAGAATTAAGCTTAGGGGGTCACAGGGCAAGCACCTAAAAGGAGCCTCTACGTTTTACTCACACATGGAAAGAGTGGATTCCTGAAGGAAACCTTTAGTGTTGCTCTCTACCTGGGGGCACATGAGTGAAGGAGAATCACTTAGCCCAATGGAAGTATTTCTGTGGCCAAAATTTATAACATTATGAAGATTCCAAAAACATGGAATCATTCACAAGAAACTGTTAAGTGAAGAAAAAGCAGGACTCCAATTCAAATATATACCAGGGATGGCAAGTCTTTTTGTAAAGGGCCAGATAGTAAATATTTCAGGCTTCACAGACCACATGGTCTCTGTCACAACTACTGAACTGTGTTGCTGTTGCATCAAACAACTGTAGACAACATGTGAGTGAATGGGCAGGGCTCTGTGCCAATAAAACTTTATTTACAACAACAGGTGACAGGCCAGATTTGGCCCTTGGGCTGTAGTTTGCTGATGCCTGATCTATCTTACATTAAAATTCTAAATAAATGTATAATGTTTATGAACATAGACACAAAAAACACAGAAAATGGAAGCACTCACTGTATTTGGAGAATGCAATTATCAGTTTGGTGGTTCTCTATTAATTTTCCCTACTCAACATTTATTTAACCTTCTGGGAACAAATTCTGGAGGTGAGAAGAGGACAGAGAACTACCCTTCCATCATCTTTAATCCATGGGGTCCCTGGCGTGAACCCACCCCCATGTCCAAAATAAGGCACATGCCCAGACCTGGACCCCAGAGGTCATTTCATTGCTTTGGCCATGGTCATTCTTTCAGAGAGGAGCATGGACCCAAGCAGACCAATGAGAATCACTTCCTTGGATTTTTTTCTTTTTTAATATCAAGAACAAGAAGACCTCTGACTGCTGAGGTGAAGGAAACTGCCGCTCATGGCCATCTTGCCACTCCAAGGATTGTCCTGTTCAAGAATGACGCCTGCACACTGGAAAACAGAACTGAGAAATGAAGAAATGCTGATGGTCTTTGCAGAGCCTCCAGCTCCAGCCTTATCTGAAACTAGCCCTGTTCCTGGATTTTTCATAACTTGAGCCTATATGTGCTTTCTCCATCTCAGCTCTTTTATTTTTTCCTGTTCACCAAAAATCCTGAAGGAGGTCATTGTGAATGGGGTTTTTCTTATTTTAAAAAGTCCTTTAATATGTTTATACCATCACTTTACAAACAAATAAAATTGAAAGAAGATGGATGAAAAGGCAACATATTTTTAAATTTTACTTCTCAAATGAAAGTCATGCTCTATTTTTTCGGTTTTCCTTATCAGTTGAGTGACTGAGCCAGTTGCAGTTCTTAAATTTGACCAAGAGCATCTAAACATGCTCTCCAAAAATTGACTGGGAGCCTATTTTGAAGAAAATATATAAAGACAGGGCTAGAGTGGAGATCACAAATGATGACAATAGAAAATATTTCAGGAAAGACCATTTGACTCTGCAAAAATGCAGTGACATATGTAGGACAGCCGAGAGTCTCCACGAGAGGATGAAAGTGATCCGTGACCATCACATGGCCACAGCCTCTTAGAAAAAAGACTTTGGAAGAAAACACAAATCTGACAGTGTCACAGCCGTGCTTAAAACTCAGCAATGATCCCCAGTTGCCTACTTGAGCCCAGACTCCCACAGTGGATATGATTTTCACAGAACATAAATTTGAGTGTGCAAGAAATATAATTTTTTTTTAATTTATAACTCTTAAATTTTTTTTCTCAAATCCCCAGTCTACCCAATAGCAGAAAATGTAGTCACTTCCAGGAAAATGCCATCATTTGGGGATAAACACAATCAATTCAGGATTCTGCATATACACCCACATTCTGTCTCTCTCTCTCTCTCCTTCCTTCCCCCTTGGGCAGCCTCCAAGGACTAAGAGATTTGG